TCATCTCTACAATAAATCAAAAACTAGCCGGGCGTGGTAGCACGCGCCTGTAATTCCAGCTACTTGGAAGGCTGAGGTGGAAGGATCGCTGGAGCCCAGCAGGTCGAGGCTGCAGTGGCCGGGAACAGCCACTGCACTCCAGTCTGGGCAACAGAGTGAGACTCCAACTAAAAATAATAATAATAATAATAATAATTCCATCTAAAACAAGCTGGATATTACTAGATAGTAATTGTCTCCCATAAGCAGTATTATTATACTCTTCTTTCTCCCACTGTAAGAAGTGTTAACCTTTCATATTGCTTCACAACATCCTTAAACCCAAAGATGTTTCTTCTGAGGGTATATGATACAGTATAACTGTTTTCTTAAGTGAACTCATTTTTCTTTAGGTGCTTCATGCAGACATTTGTACCCAGGATGTCCTTCTGCAAAATGCTGATGTTGTTGTCATGAATAATGTCTTTGAATATTTTCTGAATGAGACAGAACAGGCCAGGTACGCTATTTATTCAGCATGAAATTTGTTACTAAAATTCATTCAGCGAGGTATGAAAAGAGATTAGTAAGGCTGGCTTGTTTTCATATTAAACTTTTTAAAACCGACTCCTCGAACAAAAAATAAGGAAATGTGTTATGTATAAAATAAAAGCAAACTGATTGTCTAACTTTGTAAAAGGTTATATCTAATTTTTGACAGATATAAAATGATTTTATGATGAACCAAGCATTTTCTTAGCTGTGAGGGATACAGTAAGACACCAATTCCCATTAGGCCTTTATACTTATTCTGCCACAGTTTTCTTTCTTTTTCTTTTTCTTTTTTTCGAGTCTTTAGGTCAAGGTCTCATTGTGGCTCACCACAGCCTTAACTTCCTGGAGTCAGGTAATCCTTCCTCCTCAGCCTCCCACATAGCTAGAACTACAGGCCTGTGCCACCACACCTGGCTAATTTTGTTATTTTTTGTAGAGACAATGTCTTGCTGTGTTGGCCCAGGCTGGTCTCGAACTCCTTAGCTCAAGCAGTCCTCCCACCTTGGCCTCCCAAAATACTGGGATTACAGCCATGAGCCACCACGCCTGGCCCTCAGTTTTCTTTTCTGTGAGATAATATATCATATTACTGTCATATCACAAAATAATGGGAATTCAGTGGGACTTGTAAATGAATATTAAAACAGGATAAAAAATATTAACCTAGAAAAGTGTTTAATTATGGAACTTTAAAAATGTTCTTGCCAGGCACAGTGGCTCACAGAGAGGATTGCCTGAGTCCAGGGGTTCAAGACCAGTTCAAGACCAGCCTGGGCAACTTGGTGAGGCCTCATCTCTACAATAAATCAAAAAAATTAGCCAGGCATGGTGGCATGCACCTGTGGGTCCAGCTACTTGGAAGGCTGAGGTAGAAGGATTGCCTGAGTCCAGCAGGTCAAGGTTGCAGTGGCTGTGAGCATGCCACTGAACTTCAGCCTGGGTGACAGAGTGAGACTCCAACTCAAGAAAAAAGTTGTTAAGATAGTAATTGTATTCTGGGTGCAGGAGCTCATACCTGTAATCCCAGCACTGTGGGAGTAGAGGTGAGAGGATTGCCTGAGTTCAGGGGTTCAAGACCAGCCTGGGCAACATGGCAAGACCTCATCTTTACAATAAATATACAAATTAGCCAGGCGTGGTGGTATGTGCCTGTAGTTCCAACTACTTGGAAGGCTGAAGTGGAAGGATTGCCTAAGCCCAGCAGGTTGGGGCTGCGGTGGCCATGATTGTGCCGCTGCACTCCAGCCTGAGTGGGAGAATGAGACTCCAACTCAAAAAAAAACAAAAAAAAAAAACAAGAGCTAGGCTCAGTGGCTCAGCCTGTAATCCCGCGCCTTTGGGAGGCTGAGGTGAGTGGATTGCCTGAGCCCGCGGGTTCAAGACCCGCCTGGGCAGGCGAGACCTCATCTCTACAATAAATCAAAAAATCAGCCGGGCGTGGTAGCACATGCCTGTAATTCTGAGGTGGAAGGATCGCCGGAGCCCAGCAGGTCGATGCTGTGGTGGCCAGGAGCAGCCACTGCACTCTAGTCTGGGCGACCGAGTGAGACTCCAACTCAAAAAAAAAAAAAGATAGTAGTAGTAGACTCCTGGAGCTTATTCTACTATTCAAGTGGTAGAAAAACTAGCAATCTATGTTCAGTTTTCTGATTTCCTGTCACAATTGATGAATTTTGTTTCTAATTAGAGAACTTACAGGATCTTCTAGTTAGAAAATTCCTTTTTATTTTTTGAGTCTGAGTCTCACTCTCCCATCCAGGCTGGAGTGCAGTGACACAATCACAGCTACATAGCCTCTACCTGCTGGGCTCAGGCGATCCTTCTGCCTTAGCCTTCCAAGTAACTGGAACTAAAGACACATGCTACCACTCCCAGCTAATTTTTTTTATTTATTGTAGAGACAAGGTTTCGCCATGTTGTCCAGACTGGTCTCAAACTCCTAGGCTCAGGCGATCCTTCTCTCTCAGCTTCCCAACTTCTGAGATTACAGACATGAGCTACCATGCCTGACCTAGAAAATTATTTTAGTCTATAGTCTGAGATGCTGATTTTCTGACCAGTTAGGCTTGCTTATTTCTTACTTTTCTTTATTTTTATTTTTTTACATTTTTTTATTTTAAAGATGTGGGGTACAATTCAGGGTTAGGAATACAAATGTTCATTATGCAGGTACCCTTGTTGATGAGGTGTGCCTCCCCCGTGATTCCCGCTACTACTGCCAATCCTTTTTTTTTTTTTTTTTTTTGGAGTTAGAGTCTCACTCTGCTGCCCAGACTAGAGTGCAGTGTCATGCAGTGGCTCACAGCCACCCCAGTGTCAACCTGCTGGGCTCAGGCGATCCTTTTGGTACTACAGGTGCACGCTATCACGCCTGGCTAATTTTTTGATTTATTGTAGAGATGAGGTCTCACCAAGGTACCAGGCTGTTCTCAAACCCGTGGGCTCAGGCAGTCCCCTCACCTTGGCCTCCCAAAGTGCTGGGATTACAGGCTTGAGCCACCACGCCCACCCACCAATCCTTTTCTTATATAGTACTAGATAATTGTTTAAGGTCTGCTTATGAGTGAGAACATGTGATATTCAGTTCTTTGTTTCTGTGATAGATCAGTCATATTTCAGACTCTTAAGTTCATCCAAGTTGCTGTGAAGTTCTTAATTTTGTCCTTTGTGGCTGCATAATATTCCATCCTTTATATGTACCACATTTTTTTTACTCAGGTCTCTTTCGATGGACAGCATGGTTGGTTCCATGTTTTTGCTATTGTGAACAATGCTGCAATAAACATATGTGTGCAAGTATCTTTTCCATAGAGTGATTTGAGTTCCTCTGGGTATATTACCAGTAGAGGGATTGCATGGTAATATGGAGGGTCGATTTTTAGATCTTTTAGGAATCACCAAACTGTTTTCCACAGTGGTCATACTAGTTTACACTCCCACCAACAGTGTAGAAGTGTTCCTTTTTCCCTGCATCTTCTCCAGCATCTGTTGTTTTTTGAGTTATTGATGATGACCATCCTTGATGGAGTTAGGTGATTTCTTAACTTTTTATAACAGCATTTGTGTACTCTAGATGCAGGAGAGCTCCTGCTCATATATATGCAAGGGAGTTACATTAATATGTTTGGATTAGTGCATCATTAAGGTTTCCACTGCAGAAAAGTAAAAATGCATGTAATTATAGATCACAAATAGTTAATACAGAGTGGAATCCTGAATGACTAAACCTCTTTATTCTGCCACCACCTTCTACACAATCTCTCTCTCTCTCTCTCTCTCTCTCTCACCACACACACACACACACACACACACACACACAGATACACACACACACCCCACAAATATTCCCATGCCAATTGCTACTAGCTCAAGGTCACTAGGAAATTAACAATTTAAATAATATTAAAAGAAGCTAGTTCTACAGAGCTAATCATATGGTCCAAGCTCAGCAAGAGTGGGTGATGATTTTTAGTCATCAGCTGACTAACATGAGCAAAGTTGTTTTAATCATAGTGTCCCATTTTAGCATACTTCTCAGTGCACTAAGTATGATTAGCTTTTTGCCTTTTTAAAGTTAATGACAGGTAGCCAAAACATTACATAAATACTGGAGAATGAAATATTACCAGGTTTATTACAGGCTCGGTGGCTCAGCCTGTAATCCCGCGCTTTGGGAGGCTGAGGTGAGTGGATTGCCTGAGTCCGTGGGTTCAAGACCCGCCTGGGCAACTTGGCGAGACCCCATCTCTACAATAAATCAAAAAATTAGCCGGGTGTGGTAGTGTGCACCTGTAGTTCCAGCTACTTGAAAGGCTGAAGCGGAAGGATCGCCAGAGCCCAGCAGGTTGAGGCTGCAGTGGCTGGGAGCGTGCCACTGCACTCCAAACTGGGCGACAGAGTGAGACTCCAACTCAAAAAAAAAAAAAAAAGTTAAAACAGAAAAACACCTTAAACTCTTTTGAGATTCATTATAGAAAGATTTTGAATGCTGAAGAATGATGAAAGCTATTGGTGAACTTGATATGGGAAATACTACATATTTGGGTTGTTCTAAAAACTTTCTTGGAGTTCGTTCATTCACAAATGCTACATGATTCACTGAACAGGTATTAGTCACGTGAGTTAATGCAATCACGTCTAAATTAGTCTAGTGCAATGACTTCTAAATACAGAGAGATTATAGTGTCTTGTGGTTAATTATCTTCATTGTGAGTGATAGCATACAGAAGTAAGTTTAGAAGGTAGAGTAAAGCATTCTGATAATGGAATTGTTCTGACAAAACCGATCATTTACCTATATAATTCTCTTTTGTAGTAGGTGAAAGAGAATGGATGGTACAACATTTAACTTCCAAAGACTTGTAATTTTAATCAGAATCTGAGGACAGCTAGAATGATATTACTGTAGGAGTTAGTAGATAAGAGAAAACTTAAATACATCGTAATAATAAAAAATGTGTACTCAGAAAAGGCTCAGGCTTCAAAATAGGTTAGATTTCATTCCCGGGTAACACTCCAGATTTCTAATTTTTAGTTTAAAAGGTACTTATATCTACTTTTTTAGTAGGGATCAAACAAATAGAACTACTATAGTGACAATTTACCAGAAATAGCAAGTGCTATATTGAGCCATGCCTAATCATGTCATGCCAATATACTGGGCTTCTTCATTCTTATTAAATAAATGTATAAAATATGTCATTTTTAGGAACCATATCAAAACAACAAAATAGCTCTACCCCAAACACAGTGATATTTATTACTGAACACTGCTACATTTTATCTATAGCCTAACAAAAAGAATAGGTTGTATCATCTTGCCTAGAAAGCTCCAGAAATACTAAACCTAATAGCCACTGCTTTAACTAAAATAAGGGCAAATGATACCACTGCAAAGAATTTAAGGGCTTTGGTCAGGTGCAATGGCTCACATCTGTAATCCCAGTAGTTTGGGAGGCTGAGGCAGGACGATTGCTTGAGCCTAGGCATTTTAGACCAGCCTAGACAACATAGCAAGACCTTGTCTCTACAAAAAAAATCAAATTAACCAGGCATGGTGGTGCACACCTGTACTCCCAACTACTCAGGAGGCTGAGGCAGGAAGATCACTTGAGCCCAGAAGGTTAAAGCTGAGGTAAGCCGTGATCATGTCACTCACTGCACTTCAGCCTGGGCAACCTTGACTCAAAAAAAAAAAAAGAATTTAAGGACTTTCAGTGCTGATTCAGCTTTGACTTCTGCATCAGTTCTGAAAACTGAGTTTTGGCCTTATTCACAAACCTTGTAGTAATATGAATTATTACCTTATTATAAGTCACCTCAGTACTGTAACCTCACAATTTTGCCAATACTCCTCAGAACTAGAGAGTTTACCAATTCCTAGTATGTTGCTGCAGCCCTGTATCTTGTAACCTGCAGGCAAACATCTTTGCCCATCTTAATTTCTAGATATCACCTGTGCTGCATTTCTTTTGTCATCCTCCTTTTTTTTTTGAGTCATGCTCTCACTCTGTTACCCAGACTGGAGTACAGTGTCACAATCTTGGCTCACTGTTGGGCTCAGGAAATCCTTCCATCTCAGCCTCCAGAGTAGCTGGGTGCACCACTATGCCCAACTACTTTTTTTATTTTTTTTTGTAGAGACAAGGTCTTGCTGTATTGCCTAGGCTGGTCTTGAACTCCTGGGCTCAAGCAGTCCTCTTACCTTAACTTCCCAAAGTGCTGAGATTACAGGCGTGAGCCATCACAAAGTCTCAGTTTTTTAAAAACTTCATTTAGCAGGTGTCTGATAAAACCTAACATACCAAGCTTTTGTTTTGTTTTGGTTATTTTTTTTTTTTTCAGTCAGGATTTCTGTTGCCCACACCTCGACCTGCTTCAGGCAATCCTTCCACCTCAGCCTTCCTAGTAGTTGGAATTACAGGCATGAATACCACACCCAGCTAATTTTTTTATTTATTGTAGAGATGAGGACTTGCCAAATTGCCCAGGCTGGTCTCAAACCCCTGGGCTCAGTCAGTCCTCTCACCTCCACCTCCCAAAGTACGTGAGCCACTGCATCTGGCCTTGTTACGTTTTTAACTTGAGTAATAGAAGTGTTGATAAGGGCATGCTTTGGATTCAGTTTGGGGATTTTTTTTAAAAGAATACTTTTTTGGGGAGCAGTTTTAGGTTCCCAGCAAAATTGAGAGGAAGGTGCAGAGATATCTCATACCCACACATGCATAACCTTGTCCGTTACCAACACACCCCACCAGAGTAGTACTTTCTGTTACAATTTTTTTTAGAGTCCCTTTTAAAAAAGGAGCAAAGTAGGGTGGTGATAGCTCACTGTACCTTGAATTCCTGAGCTCAAGCAATGCTCCTTCCTCAGCCTCCCAAATAACTGGGACTACAGGTGTGCGCAACTGCACCCTGCCAAGGTTCACTCTTGATTTGGACAAGTATCCATAATTTAAGTATCATATATAATATTTTCAGTGCCTTAAAAATGCTCTGTGCTCTGCCTGTTCATTCTTTCCTCTCTCCTGGCAACCTCTGATCTTTTTACCATTCAGTAGTTTCACCACTTCTAGAATGTCATATAGTCTAGTTGGATTCAAGCAATTATATATAGCCTTTTCTGGCTGGGCGCAATTACTCACACTTGTAATCTCAGCACTTTGGGAGGCTGAGGTGGGAGGATGGCTCGAGGCCACGCGTTCAAGACCAGCCTAGACAACATAGTGAGACTTCATTTCTACAAAAAAAATAAAATATATATAACCTTTTCAGACTGGCTTCTTTCACTTACTAATATGCATTTAAAGTTCTTTCACTTTCGTGACTTGATAGCTCATTTCTTTTTAGTGCTAAATTATATTCCATTGTCTTGATGAATTGCAGTTTATTCACCTACTGAAGGACATCTTGGTTGCTTCTAAGTTTGGGGAATTATGAATAAAACTGTTATAAACATCTGTGTGCAAGCTTTTGTATAGACATAGGTTTTCAGTACTTCGTTTTGTAAGAAACCACCAAAGTGGCTGTATCTTTTTGCCTTCCCTGAGAGCAGTGAATAAGAGTCATTGTTTTCTCACATCCTCTTTCCTACATTTGGTGCTGTCACAGTTCTGGATTTCTGTCTTGCTAATAGGTATGTAGTAGCATCTTAGTGTTGATTTAATATACTGTTTTTAATGTGTTGTAGAGCCTGGGAACATATGAGTCATAACATAAGGAAGCAAGGATCATTATTAGTGACAGTACCAAGTCTGGAAGATTCTCTCTCGGGTCTTCAGGTATGTAAGCCTCTTTTCCAGCATTTTTATTATCAGAACTTTTCTCCTGCTTTTTTCTGGTAGTTCTTAGAATATTCTAGCAATGTCCTGTGTGTAAAAATAGTGGCAGATGGTAGAAAGAATAGCAAGACTTTATGGCTTAAGCCTTTGCTTATGGTTTATTCACCAGCCCCAAAAGCTCTGAAACTGTTAATCTTATCTTTTTTTTTTTTATTTGGAATCTCACTCTGTCTCCCATGCTGGTGTGCAGTGGCATGCTCATGGCTAACACAGCCTCAACCTGCTGGGCTCAGGTGGTCCTTCTGCCTCAGCCTTCCAAGTAGCTGGAAACACAAGTGTGCGCCACTGCGCCCAGCTGATTTTTTTAATTTATTGTAGAGATGAGGTCTTGCCATGTTGCCCAGGCTGGTCTCAAACCTGTGGGTTCAGGAAATCCTCTTGCCTCGGCCTCCCAAAGTGCAAGGATTATAGGTATGAGCCACCATGCCCAGTTGTCAGTCTTATCTTGATATAGATTCCCTTGCTTCTCCACCCAGTTTTTCTGTGTGGTGATAGTTTTAGGTTAACAAACACTACTGAATGTTTGTAAGGGACTTAGAATATCCACATCATAACTTTGTCCCTTAGAACAAAAGGAACAGAGTTGCTCAAGGCGTCTAGAATCATACATGTAGACTGGAGGCCTACACACTGTGCAGTTTGGCCTCTAAGACAGTTTGGAATCTGGCACAAACCACGTCTTTGTTCCCGATTCTTTGTATAAAATAAGACCAATATTTATTTACTTATTTATTTTTATTATTTTTTTGAGTTGGAATCTCACTGTGTCACCTAGGCTGGAGTACAGTGGCACGCTCACGGCCACCGCAACCTCCTCTCCCTGCTGGGTGCAGGCTATCCTTCCACCTCAGCCTTCCAAGTAGCTGGGTCTACAGGCATACCACCATGCCCAGCTAATTTTTTTATTTATTGTAGAGATGAGGTCTCGCCATGATGCCCAGGTTGGTCTCGAACCCATGGACTCAGGCAGTCCTTTCGCCTCTGCCTCCCAGAGTGCTGGGATTAGACATGAACAACCACGTTGAGCTAAGACCAATATTTAATAATAAAATTCAACCCAATAAATTGACCCTTATAGGAAAGTTAATTAGTATTTGAATAGCAGTTTTGCAATTCCCCAGATGAAAGATGCTATCATATTTGAATGTCATTTTCAGTAGTGGTGTTTTCCTTGTATATAAGCATTGCCAAAGGTAAACTACCTGTCTCTTCCTTTAAAAAAATTTGTATCAGTCATCTAAATTATAAAAGTAGTTTGTGTTTGTTATAGCAAGGTAAATAATCCAAAGATACTTAAAGAGAAGGTATCTGTTTCTCCATCATTTTCTCTCTATGAGAGTCTCACCTCATGAGTAACGTGACCCTTCCATACTTTTCCACACTTAGAAAAACATACCTTTAGAAATGTCTCTGATTTGTATTATAATTTCTGTATTCTTTTATGTTCCAAAGTCAGAGTAAGTTAAGTCCCTAAGTCCATAGATCTATCATTTAATGCAGCAAAAAAGTAGTCCTATGGCACCATGTAGAGCTAGTCCTGTTCACTATAATCAAACTCTGTTGTGTTTGACCAGGCATGGTGGCTCATGTCTGTAATCCCAGCACTCTGGGAGGCCGAGACAAGAGGACTGCATGAGCCTGGGTGTTCAAGCCTAGGCAAAAAGCAAGGCCTCATCGCTACAAAAAAAAATCAAAATCTTAGCCAGATGTGGTGGTGCATGCCTCTAGTCTCAGTTACCCAGAAGGCTGAGTCGGGAGGATCAACTGAGCTGAGGAGGTCAAGGCTGCAGTGAGCCAAGATCGACTGTACCACTGAACTCCAATCTGGGTGACAGAGTGAAACCCTGACTTAGAAAAACATACAAGCAAAAAGCACAAAACTCTGTTGAGTTCAATCAACTGCTTAGTGAGTGATGATTTTTTGAAATTCCAGAGAATAGAGTATTCTGCAGTTTTCATATTTGTTTATTATCTTTTTTCCCCCCTAGACAAATATACAGTTATCCTCCTGGGTTGAAGAAATACCACTGAACTATGATGTGTACCCACAAAAGGACATTGACAAAGAAGCTCTTGAACAAATTCATTTATATAAGATTCTCTAGCACGAAAATAATTCTGCCTCACTGTACTGTTTTGTTAGTATATTATAAAATAATGAAAAAGGAATATAACTCCAATGTCCTAATACATATTTTTTCTGCATAGTCTCTTCTAGTCTTTGTACATGATTGCATATTTGTAAAAAGTTGTATATATACAACTTTGCTCTGAGTTGTATAATAATTAAAGTATTTATCGGAAAACATTTGGTTTTCATCAGTTTCTTTTATTTTGTTAAAAATGTAGGCCGGGCGCAGTGGCTCAAGTCTGTAATCCCAGCACTTTGAAAGGCCGAGGTGAGGGGATTGCCTGAGCCTATGGGTTCAAGAACAGCCTGGGCAACTTGGTGAGACCTCATTTCTACAATAAATCAAAAAATTAGCCAGGTGCGATAGCATGCACCTGTAGTCCTGGCTGTTTGGAAGGCTGAGGCAGAAGGATTGCCTGAGCCCAGCAGGTGAGCATGCCATTGCACTCTAGCCCTGGCACAAAGTGAGACTCCAACTCAAAAAACAAATGTAAATATGGGCCAGGCTTGGTAGCTCACGCCTATAATCCCAGCACTTTGGGAGCCCATGGGTTCGAGACCAGCCTGGGCAACCTGGTGAGACTTTGTCTCTACAATAAATCACAAAAACTAGCTGGGCATGTTGGCGTGCATCTATAGTTCCAGCTACTTGGAAGGCTAAGGCAGAAGATTGCCTGAGCCCAGCAGGTCGAGGCTATGGTGGCCATGAGCAGCGTGCCTCAGCACTCCAGCCTGGGTGACAGAGTGAGACTCCAACTCAAAAAAAAAGGTTAGGAC